GCAGGTGCTGTTTTGGACTTTAAAAGACAAGTTCAGAAAAATTAAATTAAATTAAGCCCAGGCAACAGGAAGCTAGGATGATTTTCAGTGCTAAATGGCTACCTCCTTTTGCCAAGAGGGAGCTCTTACATGTTGAGACCTCAAGAGCAAGCTGGCAGATGAAAGCAGCAGCAGGCAAGCCTCCGTGCTGTGGAGTAGGAAGCGATCAGTCCAAACCACTATGTCCAGGGGCTTATGGCAAGCTCAGGCCTAAGCAAGGCCATTTTCGATAACAAGGCAATACTATCTGGTTGATGGGGGTAAGGGTCCATCCAACAATAACCATAATCAAACAAGGGACTGTGATTTTGTTCCAATGGTGTCAATCTAGATTGAAACTGGACCCATCTATACCTGAATGGGAAGAGACAAAGCCCAGGCTTGAGAAGGTGGTTGGACCCCTGTCAAATGGGCTTAAGCTTTGAGCAGGGTGCCTCTCAGAGAACTGTATCAGGGAAGAAGGTCATCCATTGGGATGAATAGATGCTCAGGGTGAGCATGGGATCAGATCCAGGGGCTCATCTGAGAAATACCAGATGCTGGTTTTAGGGTGGCAAAGCTAATTTCATGCCCTTGACTGTCAATGCACTAGGAGACCTGTTTCCAGGAACTGGGACTCATGAATTGGGTGAGACTGAGCCTGCAGACAAGAAGTCTTCCACACTTGCAGCTAAGTGGTGCTTAGCCTGCTAGAGGCTTGGTACTGGGAAGGGGGGGAGGTAAAGGTAGAGTAGATATATTACCAGAGAATTTTGATCTGGGAAGATAGGAAAGTGAGTAAGATGTAATCCTTGAAGAGTTCCTCATCAAGTTCCTATCAGCAGCCACTGCAGCATGAGTTCGATCCCCTGCCAGAGAACTAACCCACGTGGCATAGCAGACCTCTCTTGTCTCACCCGCTGCTCCCCTCAGCAGTGTTTTCAGTGGGTCCGCCTGTTCTGCTCCCCACTCTGTCTCTGATGAATCCTCTCAACCCCCACACCTCTGGCCTGCACCCTTGTTCTTGCATGCATAAATAAAAATAAATCTATTTTTTTTAAAAAGAGGGAGAGGCAGACACTGATAAAAGCCATTGCTTTCATCAGTCATCTAGACTGACCAAGTGTGAAAGCAGAACTGGCTAGGCCTTCCTGCACTTGACTGAAAGCAAGCCATCCAATTAGTGTCTAGTAAGAAGAGGTCCTTGTTGAATAGTATCAGGAGGAGGTTTACTGCCTTGAAGCAAAGGTTGCATCAGACTGAGGGAGAGGAGAAGGAAATACTCTTGCAGAAAATGTGAATATTAACCTTGCGATTACCATAAAAGCAAGTCCAAGAAAAGTACTGTTCCTTCCCTTCTTAGGAAATATGAGATCACCTTCTCCTTGTGTGAGAACCACCTGGTGAGGAGCTATTTTGGATCATCTGTCTCCTCACTTAACCTCATTTGGCTTCCTATTGCCTCTTAAATTGCCTTGTCAGATCTCATTGGAGAAGCCGAACAATTTACTCCCTTTATTCAAGAGTTTACAAAAACTGCCTTGTGGAATACAACTTTGATATGTGGAGATATGCAGTGACTAAAACTCCAGGGACTATAAAGAGGATTCCTAAATTGAGTGTGCTTGTGAGAGCGTCATTAAGTCTGGCGGTGATCTGGTGGTGGTGCCATGTGAGGTCAGCAGGGTCCAGGTGACTCCTGCGATGGTCAGGCAGCCTTGCATGTAGTGAAACTGTGAAACAGGGTGACTGCTTACCTGACAAAAGAACCTGTGCCTTCACTATAGCAAAAAGAGGGTTCTTTTCATTTGCTGTTGATATTCTCAGTGCATAGATTCAGACCAGTAACAATAAGCTGGCAATATCTCATGGAACATTCGATGGTCCAATATTGTATCAGAAATACTTCCCTCACTGACAGCTGAAATTTCACTTGTGACATTTCCTCTCTGAGTTGGTTTGAGTTGTTTAACCCTGCCAATTCCAACTGCTACTAATCCCTTACACAATGAATACTTTTCTGAATACTGGGCATGCCTTAGGTTAGATAACTGAGGCAAAGGGAATAGTATGTGATTTTCTTCATTAAAAGAGGAAACTATAAGTGAGAATGTTAAGAATGGTCTTTGTTGCTGTATTATTCAGAATTCTGTAGAGAAAGAGACCTCTATCTATCTATCTATCTAAAAACTGTATGTACATATTATATGTAATATATGTTACATTACATATTATATAACATTAAAATATAAATATACAGTATATAATTAATTATATTAACTATTGTTAATTGTTGATATTAATAATATATTAGATTTATTTAAAGAATTGGCTCTTCTACTTATTGGGCTTGGTCCATCCACAATACACAGAGTAAACCAATAGCTGAGAAATTGAGGTAAGTGTTGGTGCTTCTTGAGTCTGAAATTCTCATGGCATGCCAGGCAGGCTGGTGGCTCAAGCAGTTTCTGTATTGCAGTCTGAGCCCAAACTCCTTTTTCTTTTGGAAATCCCTGCTTTCACGTAAGCCCTTTACCTGATTACATGAGGCCCACCCATATTATGGAAGGTAATTGGTTTCACTCAAATTCTACCCATTTAAATATTAATCACATCTAAAAGAACACAATCTGCACAGCAATATCTAGGCTAGTGTTTGTCCAAACAGCTGGAAACTGACACCTAAAATTAACCTTCACAGGTATATTCATGTGAAAGATGAAACATCATTCATATTTCTAAGAAGTAAAAACATCAAATTGCTTTTCAACAATTATATCAATCATTCCTTAATCTAGTCCCTGACTTTAACTTCCAGCCTTGAATGGGTCACACATTTCTAACTTACCCTAAGCAGGGGGTCCTGGGGAGCTACATGATGTCACTCATCTTGAAGTATTTGTGCAGTGGAACCAAGGACACCACCTCCACTGGCCATAGGAAGAGCTGGTCACCATAGCATCTTCAGTAACATTCGTGTGAAGTATCCAGTAGCCTTTCTCTCTTTGGTTTTATTTATTTATAAGAAATTCCATCAGTTCATACTTTACACATGAACTATCATAAACTTTTTACAACATTAATTCATTGATTCTTATAACTCATGAGGTTGGTACTGGGATGATGACCTATTACATATTTTGTACCACTTTAACTAACTGGTTTAAGATCCCAGGATCAGTGGGTGGCTCTTAACTAGTCTCCTAATTATTAGGCAATCTTCATGCTAAAAAAGATGTTTGGTTACAGCCAGCCATGGCTTGGAAAAATCAGAGATTAGAGAGACTATCCTCCACCTCTGCTTCTCATGAATATTGTTACTAACAATGAGAAATGTTTAATATAATAGATTAGTATAGCTATCTTTGAAGCAAATGCATCTCAATCTCCTTAATTAGCCCAATTTTAAAATAGGTCTCTTGTGTTTGGGATACAATGAACCTGAATCTTGCAACTCTAAAATATTTTCATTAGAGAATCTCATAGGTTTTCTCAAAAATTCTATTGACCCAGTAGTAAAGACCTTTGGAGACAGTGACCATGGGTTTGAACCAACACTTTCCCTGTTGTGTCGGGACAGCTAGAGAAGGAAACCAGCGACCATTAACCCATCAAAGTCTACGTCTTAGTGTGGGTTTTTTGGTTACAGAAATATGACCCCACAAGTCATCAATATTATAAATAAGTTACAATAACATTTCATCTAAAGATAAGTTATGGTGTATAGCAGCTAGAATGAGTCATACAAATGGGGTATAGGCCAGAGGTGCAGGGAGGGGTGTGTAAGAGGATTTACCAGAGACCGAATAAGGAGAACAGGCAGACTGACTAAAATACACTGCTGAGGGGAGCAGGGAGCGGGGACCGGCGAGACAGGAGAGGTCTGCTGCGCCATGTGGGTAGCTCCTTGGCAGGGAATGAAGTGCTGCAGTGGCTGCTGGATTGCCCCATAGTGCTGAGACTTGATCCCTTGTGCCACCAGGGAGGCCCTGGAATCTGATTCTTGATTGTAAAAACTATTCTGGTTCAAACTGAATCAGCTTAGCAGAAAAATAATTATAAATGTTGAAAATCCACCCCCCCCACCCTTTTTGTTTCTGTTAGTAAACTGCAGTAGGAGAGACACTTTCTGCCCTGAAGGAGATGGCTGTCTTAGCTGGTAAGTCATGTGAGCGGCAGTGGGTGCATGTTATCCTGTTCAGGCATGACGGCTCCATCTCTCTCATTCCTGCAGGATATGAATGTTGACACTGTACAAGAACTTGACTAATAACTTTCCGTGGACCTTCCAAAATATATTTTCTGGATAAAAATCTTAAAAAAGGTCAATATTTTCATGGGTTGACAGGGTCCAGAAAGAGAGTCACTAAGTACTGCTGAGACTAAGTTCAACGTATTGAAAATCTTTAGAGGTTTTTCTCTACTCACCATCACCAAGACAGTAAGCAGGAAAATGAATATTAGCTATATGACCCTCAAAGAGCCTGCACATGACTTCATTTTCTCAAAGGCCTGTGTAGGAAAAAAAAAATCTACACAGGCTTGGTTTGACTGAAAGGATGCATCTCACTGGTGTTCTCTACATTTAGATTGAATGCCTTTCACTTTACTTAGTTCTAAAACTAGTTAATGACATATGGGGCCTATTTTATCAATGGGGTAGATTCACTGTGACAGTGAATGGGAAAAAGTATTCTATTTCCCTTCGGTGCAAAATTCAAATGACCAGGCTTAATTTTACTGAGGACACTCCCATCCTTATCCAAATGTTTCAAAATATGAGACTCCCCAGTTGAATGTTTGCAGGTTTATTTGGTGTGCTCAATTCTTTTCACTCCCTCAATGTCATTTTGGTTTAAAAAAGCCCCCATTGCATTTACATCCCACGACAGAAACCTTGGAACATAATATAAATGTCTATTAAACATTATTTCATACATCTAACAATGTTGATTCAAGAGACTACACAAACAGGATTCCTTTAAGTTGTTTTATTGATGACAGGAACAGAGCATAAAGATTTGACGAGGAACCTGTAAACAATACAGTATGTGAGCAAAATACAGTTATTCAGGTCCTTCAGACTTATACAGAGTTCTTGCACACTAGATGTTTCATCTATGACAAAGACTTTTAGAATGTTTAATTGTGCTTCCACAAAACCTTCCCAAAATGAGGTAGTTTCCTTTGCCCTCTATATTTTCCACCATTACACGTTCAGTGAGCTTAAATCCTTTAACATAACATGAACACTTTTTCATGAAAGTCAAGCCCTATTTACAAAATCTCTTTCAACTTCATTTTTCTTATACAACTACAGACATGTGAGATTGGCATCAATAAGTATTAAACTTAGATGCAAGACAATACAATCTAAACACCCAAGAGTTACACAGATTCTTATCTTCTCTCAGTCATCATATTTTGTAAGCATAAATTCTTCAGAACAGTGGGTTAGGCTCCTTGTGTTAGCTAATTGGGAGCATGGTGGGTTCATTTTCCTAAGTCACCAGGAGACATTCGCAGAATTCTTAGGTACACCAAACAAGTGAAACTTAGGTACACCAGATAGGTGAAGCTTAAGACTTGATCCAACATCTTCTCATAGCCAGATTCTTAAGAGAATGCCTGTATTCTTCATGAACTTATCAATGAAGTTGGAACTGAGTCAGAATTTGTATTCCTTTCTTAACCCAGAGAATGTCTTTAAAGACTGTTGTGAAATTAGCTGGAGAAAATTGCAGTATGTTGTTGCACACTTTAGTTTAAAAACTAACTATAATATTCAACTCATTCCCAGATTAGTTCACCTTCATCAAGTGATATGGTGGCAAATCATATTTCTAACAGAAGACTAATCACAGTCTATTTATTGTCACTCTTTTGTTCAGTCTCCAGAAGTTTCACAAATCTTTGGATAAAGGGGTTGAAAAAAATGATACAACAGATCTTACCCACTAGGCAATTATGAAATAAACTCTCATTCCAAATGGTAGTAATTTAAAGCAGTTACAATCTAATCTGACCATCATTACTTCAAGATAATAGCCTAATTCTAATATTTGATAAACTGGCTGCTATACTTATTCATTTCCTGATTGGCACTCTGACATCATTTTGAAAGGTGAAACTCTTTATGGCTGGCACAACAGGAAGCAGTTCCTCACACAATATATAGAAGCAAGTCTGATTTTTCCTCACTCTTTCATGCCTTGCTTTCTCTACTTTCCAGTTGTTCTTGAATTTTTCTCCTTAATTCAATAGTGATCATAGGAGACCCAGCCCTTGTGAAAGGAATATGCAGAGAAATCTGTCAGTGAAACTACATTTTTTTTTTACTTAATTTCCTACCACAGCTCATGGTCCATTATTAGCATCACAACAGCCAATTCCATAAGCTGAACATTATGCAAATTAAATTTTAGGCCTTATTAATGGGGTCTACATAGTGTGAAAAATACATATTTCAGACAATAAGGTTATTTTAATCTTCTGTTTTTATCCAGCAGATCTTAAAGACCACTTCATTTTCTAAAATTGAATTTCATGCCTCTGTCATTCATTAAAGCAAATATGCTTACATGTATCTATTCTTGGGGAAGGATTTACCCCTAAAATGATAATTTTCTGTTGCTGTTTCACTATAAACTTCCCAAATTAATACTGATAACTCTTTAATGATGGTATAGGTGCTGAAGATGAAAAATAAGTCATTTCCATCTACCTTCGTATTTTTAAAAGGGCCTTTTGGCAAATGGTGAAATTGAATCTTTTTGCAATATTTTAATGGTCTTTCTTTTTTTAAAAGATTTATTTATGCATACAATAGCTGGGGTACAGGCAAGAGGTGCAGGGGGTGAGAGGATTCACCAGAGACAGAGCAGGGAACAGAACAGGCAGACTGACCAAAGCACACCACTGAGGGGAGCAGCGGGCGAGTAAGAGAGGTCTGCTGCATCATGTGGGTTGCTCCCTGGCTGGTCAGGGATCAAACTCGTGCTGCAGAGGCTGCAGATTGCCTCATAGCACGGTGCTCAACACCCCCCGTGCCACCAGGGAGGCCCCTGCTCTTTCTTTTTTATACCCTCAAACTGTGAAAAATTACTGTTAGGTTAAAGTTATTCTTGCACCTGTTATTTTTTTGAGTGACTGTTTCATCTTTAAGCTAACACTCTGAATAGTTTGATTTATAATAGACACTTTCAAAAAAATCTTAAGAAACACTTTTCTATTTCAATGTTATTTGACTTGGAGGTCAGAGAAGATGCTGTCATTGAGGTGTTCTTTTGTTAGTTGGACTATGATCGTTCAATATTGCTCCAAAAGATGAAACTAACAAATATACTAGGTTGGTAGCTGAGAAATAAACCATGTAGGCAGTGGCTGAGTAACCCTTAAATTACAGTCTCACCAAGCAGCTTCTTATTATGGAAAGGATGTTATGGAAAAAGGACACATTTCCTTAAAAAATGAAATGAAAATGTTCATCATGATTTTTTTTTGATAAGGGATGAGCTCTGGCCTTTGTCTCCTAATTATCTAATTGTATTAAATAATGCTTTTATACATAAAGATTCATTCAAGTAGTAAAAATTCTATGAGGGTAATACCAATAAATATATATGCTCTAAAACTAATTTCCTAATCGCTATTGCTGCTTTTGTTAGATGCACATTTGTGGGTATTCAATCAACATTTATCAAATTAACTGGTCAGATTAACTATAATCTCTATGATCTTTATCAATGAATAGGTGCCTCACTTTTGGAGGCAAGTATTTGGAAAACAGCTGAACAAATTCTAGTTTTGACAAGACAAAGTGACAGGTGTTATAAAGTGTTCACTAAAATTACCTGGCACCATTACTATTTATAACTTAAGCTTTCACTTATCCACATAACAAATTGACCTTGTAAGGAAGAATTCTTTCATCATGCTTAAAAGCAGGGCAAGAAATAACAGGCCCTTATGATTTCTCTAACTCATCTAAGCTCCTTGCTTTAGTGCACCTGAGGAATATTTTTTGCTCTAGAAATGTTAAAAACTATTATTCATTGAAAGTGAATGAATATTGTTTTTCTGCATAAGATGCAGTTTTTCTTAAGTACATTAGTAAGCTGAACATATGATTTTAAAAGGAAACTTTAAAAGGAAAAAGAATACAGCGATTAAAGATGAAAAATCAGTCACTCCCTTCTGCTTTTGTGTTTTTAAAAGTTTTTTTTTTTTTGTGAATGGAATGAGGAAAATAAATAGGCTTATTTTAGCAGCTGATTTCAGACCAATTTCACACTACAATTTTGTTGACTAGATATATCCATTAATTGCTCTCAAGTGCCCAACTGTGCTCTGATTTGAGGGAAGCAGGACAGTTTGTAGGTACAAATATATCAAGCAATGAAAGTGGTAAGATGCAGCTTTACCCCAGCGTGTATACAGTAGGCTTCCCCAGTGGTGCAGAGCCCTAACATCCAGGTTATATCGATGTTATACTCTGCTTTCTTGCTGCTACCTCTGATTTTATTTTGCTCTTTTAGCATTCTTTTAAGTACAAAAAGAATAGAGGGTGTTTACTAGATTAGAAAAAACATGATTCTCTGTGAAAAAAATTCTCAGTCATTTATTTTTCTTTCCCTTTTAACTTTGCCTTTGTACTTTTGAAAGCAAGGGCTAAAGCAGGAATGATCCATTTATTCATTGCTGCCAGCTGTGTTCTGTGAGAGACCTTGGGACACATCCCTGAAGTCACTCTTCTTCTGGCATGTCATGAGTAGAATCACTAATAAATGACTGTAACAAGAACAAAATTTTAAAAGCAAATATCTTTAGGTGGTATCTTTAGGAAATGGACAGGTTTTCCTATGTCTGCACACATCATTTCAAAATCCACTGATATCTTTTGGTAATAGCTGACAAACTTGATCTGAGATGTAAAAACTGAAAAAAAAGTAGTAGGAAGAGAACATGCAAAATAAGTTAATCATTATCATTTTAAGTGCCACCAGTTCTGTTTATATTCATGCACATGTGAATTGCTGAATCTCATTTGATCAACCCAATTAAACATTAAATAATTGCAGCCAATTATGCAAATATCAGCAACAATATTAATTTGTTGATCTTTTTGAGCAGATTAGCCTCACATGTTCCTAATGCTAGACTATCTTACGCCTTAAATGATCAATTAGTGTTACGATAACTAAGTCTTGAAGAATGGATAATTGCCTAGTTATAATGTGCTACTCACTGTATTAATCCACTGCAATTAAACAAATAGTGCACAAGGAAAAAAGATGTGCAGATGTTCCTTTTAAATCTATTTAATAAGTTAGTGTCAAGGTCAATTTCCTGTTTTATTACTTAAATAAGAATGACAGATTGTGTTCTCGGCACTAGGAGACCTCCGGTTTTTTTAAAGTGTATCCTTAGTCTTCACTAAGTCCAGGAGAAGGAGATTAAAATGCCCTTAAGGGTTTTAGGAAAGAAATCATACAAAGACAATGTCTAGACATATTGTTCTCTAACTTTTACAATGAACACATCTTGCCATACTAAATTTAGAGATGTAGAGTATAAAATGTATTTATGGCAAACAAATGGCTTCCATTTCTCATAGGAATGTGAATCTAGTTATTATATGCTACTTGACAGGCTAAAATTACCTGGAATTCTTCTCTAGACTATGTTAAAAATGAGGTCACAAGATTTAGGCACAGCAAAAGCTTCTCCTTCGAATAGTGCTTGGTTGAACATGTGTAGAAGACAAAGTACCTAAGGTCAGGAATGAACAGACTCTCCCAAGACTTCAAATCACCAGTTAAAAGTCCTCTAAAAGATATTTTTACCATTTCTTTTCATCTTTTACTTCCCTAATTTTCATTTCACCATTCCTGTCTAAAAAGACCCTGTGGCCAAAAGTCTTGGAAAAGAATCAAAGCCAATTTGTTATATGCTGCTAAATGCCTTAAGGATTTTTTTCCCAATGCAACAAACTTTTTGAATATTTTCCCCTTGCTCTGAGAAGAGAATGAAATATGATCAGCAAGATGAAAGTCTGTAGGACTGAGCGAAACCAAAATATAATGTCTGAGAATTGACCTTCTGAAGGCAAACATTTTCTGTCAAGATTTGAATTTCCTCTGGATAAAACAGGACCCAATTTTGACTCACAGTTTCTAGACAAGGAAAACAGCATCTATAATTAATAGCTCCCCCGTACCCTTGTTCATCCAATCCCCGTTCTTTAGGAAAGAGCACCTCCAAAACCAGAGTACAAAAACCAGGGCATCCTACCTTCTTTGCTTTCTACCAAAGAACTAAACAAGGTGATATATTTTGTATTTAAAACTCACTGCTTGCTGTTCCATTTGGTGGGTCTGACACCATGACTTCATTCTAGAGCTATAGCTTCCATTCTAAGACACGCTTCAATGTGACATAATTTCCCCAACAAACGGTGCCTTTGCATATCCCTAATGGCTTAGCCATCCATGGAAAATAAGGGCCATATACAGGAAATATACACCATGTCACAAATTCAAATAAAGAGGTTTCATAATATAGAAACAGAAGGTACACTTGTCTAGAAGCTGAGACCTCACTCATTCACTGAATGAGCATTCATTGGAATGCTCTTATATGCCAGGCATTGGGTAAACAAAGATCTTTAGGGAACAGGGCCCCTCGGTCTCGTGGAACCTGACAGATCGCAGATGACACACAGCGTGGAAAGGGCAGTAGCTTTGATGTGTGTGTGTCTTGTCACAAAGATGATCGCAGATGGTGACACCAGGAAGAAGGGAGAGGCTTACTGTAAAGCAGACCTGGGGCAACTGTAAGTAAGTATGATGGGAGGGATCCAGTCTTTCAAAATCTTGATTTAAAAAGAGCAAAATGCTTTCCAAGGAAGAAGCCTGTGAAATTTACCATGATCGGTTTTCAAACACAGAAAAACTCATTTGGTTTAGGAGCAGAATATAACTTACCCTAAAGAATAAACAAACATTTATGCATCTGCGTGAAGTATGGAGGGAGGCACTAGATTATTGAGGAAGATTCTATGTGTGGCTTACATTATCATCTTTCTAAGAGAAGGTAAAGTAAGCTTCTACTACCAAGTTAACAAAACACCATTTGATGATTGCAATTTTCTCTGGCACGAGGAAGTCCTCACCCTGGTAACACACTGATAATACAAACTACACTAAGTATATCTACAAACATGTAGCCAAAGAAATCCATCTTCATTCAAATGCAACAGTCCGTCCAAATAGCACGCAGATGGATCCTGCATTTTCCAGTCAGGACACTGTGATTGTCCAGTCACTTTCTTCTCTTCCGTACTACAACAAAAGCAAGAAAACAGGTTTCAGTATAAAGGCTAATGGCACAGGAAAAACTTATGAATAAGCTTCATAATACAACTAGTGGTGTACAAAAGGTTCACTTCTGTTGGAACCTTAAAAGCATATCACATCAGAAATAAGATCAGCGGGCCTCCCTCGTGGTGCAAGGGGTTAAGCACAGCACTATGAAGCAGTCGGCAGCCTCTGCAGCACAAGTTCGATCCCCGGCCGGCAGGGGCGCAGCAGACCTCTCCTGTCTCGCCCGCTGCTCCCCTCAGCAGTGTGTTTCAGTCAGTCTGCCCATTCTGTTCCCCACTCTGTCCCTGGTGAATCCTCTCACCCCCTGCATCTCTGGCCTGTACACCAGCTCTTATATGCATAAAATAAATAAATATTTAAAAATTTTTTTTAAAAAAGAAATAAAATTATAGAGAAAGAGGAAAGGAAGAGAAGAAAGGAGGAAAGAGAGGCAGGTACAAGGTGTCATTACATCTTACAAAAATCAGGAACGAACACACATAGGGTGGTAAAGAGGACAGTAGTTCCACAACTGAACTCAGTTATTTCGCTTGGAGAGCCAGAGCTAAATACAGAATGGCAATGACAAGGCAGGTAGCTGAATACAGAAGGGACCCACAGCAGCTTTAAAGAAATATGGGCCTCCCCAGTGGTGCGGTGGGTTGAGTGCAGCCCTGTGAAGCTATCCACAGCCTCTGCAGTACGAGTTCGATTCCCAGCTAGCCAGGGAGATACCCACATGGTGCGGCAGAACTCTCCTGTCATGCCCGCTGCTCCCCTCAGCAGTGTATTTTGGTCCGTCTGCCTGTTCTGCTCCCCAATCTGTCTCTGGTGAATCCTTTCACCCCCCCCCCACACCACTGGCCTGTACCCTGGTTCTTGTATGCATAAATAAATCAATCTTAAAAAAAAAGAAATAATTTTTTTTCTCTCATTAATTTTTTACTTTTCTTACATTGTTGTTCATTTTTGTACAGTATTTGATTTCTCCCCTCAAGTGAGGTCCCCATAAATTTCCATTACCACATCACCTATGAACCATCACTGTAGTCCCTTCTGCTTTTCCCATCCCTGTCTTGAGCCTTTTTCCTGTCCCTCCCCTCCTTTAAATCTCAACTCTATAGTTGCCTGCAAGTATTGTCTTTTATTGATCCTTTGTTCGGTTTCTCTGTATTCCTCCTATAAGTGAAATCATCCAATATTTTTCTTTTTCCTTCTGACTTATTTCACTGAGCATAATCCCTTCCAGCTCCATTCATGTTACTGCAAATGGCATGAGTTTATCTTTTTTGATTGCTGAGTAGTATTCCATTGTGTGTGTGTGTGTGTGTGTGTGTGTGTGTGTGTGTATACTGCATTAAGAAATAATGTTTGGAGTATATCCCCATGCCATTACCATTAGGCTCACTTGGTACCTATCAGAACTGCAAATTGTCAAGTCCCACCTCAGACATATTAAATTAGACCCCGAGGGAGGGTGCCAGCAATCTGTATGTCAATAAAGCACTTTCGGTGATTCTGATAGTTTGTGAATCCCTGCTCTAAAAATTCCCCTTCTCCACAGTGTCTTATGTTCATGGACAATTGATAAGTCCTGTAGACATGAACAGTGACTTTGTTCTGTAAATGAAAATGGCTCATTTGTGTTATGTTAGCATCTTGATGTTTCTTAATCCTTTAGAAGTTATAGAACTGTGTCATAATCAGAATTAATATTATTTACCTCAGCAAATAATTTGCTTTAGTGAAACTAAATTTTAAGACTTTAAAATGGAATTAAGTGAAACAAAACTATTCTGGATGTCAGAAACAGAAAATTAGTTTATTAGTTTTGGTCCTCATTTTGGTCGTACATTCATTCATTCAACAAACATTTCTGTATTTAGATGAGCCCTCAATCTTTGAGCACAGTTGACTTAATGCCAACTGTGTGTTTAAGAACAGTCTAGATTTATCATCCCATAAAACCCTCACAGTAACCTCTGATAGCCCATGGCACAGTCAAGCCCTTTTTATGCATTAGAAATGGAGTAGTAGTGAGATATATTTGCTCAAGTATGCAGTCAAAAGTGGTAGCACCCAGTCTCGAGCCAAGGTCTCTCTACACCAATTCCATGTTCTTCATCACCCTCTCGATTCCTCTCCACAAGTTATATGACATGTGTGCAGGTTGATTGCAAGAGACCTCATCCACCCAGAATAGGTGCCATTAACTCTGCCATTATGTGTTTCCTAATGCAGATGAGTTCCCTTCTTCACATAAATTGCCTTATTAGTTCTAATATAATTTCAGTTACAATTAATATAAAACATCTGAATTTCTGAATTGGAAAAAACTTGAATAGTCATCTAAAATTCAGGGGATAAGCCAAGAATGAGTGGGGCTCTGGATTTTATATCAGAATATTTCCACTTTTGTTTTGCATATTGGGATTCCAGAAAAGATGTCCACTATAGAAAGTTTTGCTCTGTAAAAATCACACGTGAAGAGCAATGAACTTCCTCTCCTCTATCTGGCTTATTTCATTTAGCATAATCCCCTAAATGTTCATCCATGCTGTTACAAATGGAAATCTTTCATTTTTCATGGCCAAGTAGTATTCCACATCAGAATCCATTCATCTGTCAGGCACTCCAGATATTTCCATAAATTGGCTAATCTGAATAGAACAATCAACTTTTAAGCCAAGCTTCTCATTTTATATATATAAGGATACTGAGTCTTTAGGTGTCAATCACAAGCCCAGTTCTACTGACTCCATCTAATGCTGTCCCTCCTTCATCATTGTGCTGTGTTTCTCTTAAATAACATTAAAGACATTAGAGAGCAGAATCTGTTGGTAAAAGATGCCGGTGCCAAGAATGGGTCTACCTACTGGTTTACATGAAAAGAAAAATGAAGGAAGCCCCAAGACTAGAAGTGACTTGGTTAACCATCACTCTTGCCTAACAGAGTGGGCTCCCACTTACTGACTATTGATTATTTATGAATGCTAGATAAATATCCCCAGATTCTGTCTGATTTATGTATGGTATCAAAATGACACCAGGTAACAGCAGAATGTGTTTTATTCTTTTTTTATATTCTCATTAATACATTAAATACTTTTGCCATTAGTAATGATTAAGAGTCAGCATATTGACATTTTAGCAGACCTAAGGAATTGTGATTCATGATCACTATAATTTCATCTTGAATTTCATCAATTGAAGTAAATTTGCTTTTAGTTATTGTTTTAATTTTTAGAAATAGTCAAAACCCATTTTGGGTTACTATGACAAGCAGGCCATATCACTCTACGAGCCTGCATAACACTTATTAAGTTTTAGCCCCCACATCCTGTAATTTATGCTTTTTGTAAAATCGTAGCCTTCTGAGATGTAACCTACAGATGTGATTATACAGGTAATTCATAATTCTAGACCTAGGCGGTTAGCAATCAAGCTTTTCATTTGACTGACAGATAATTCGATTTAATTTTTCAAGGCAAAATAATTCAAAGAAGAGATGATAGATTATAGCAGAGATAAAAATTGTATCTGTCCCTTAAGAGCATGTGTCCAGAGAAGTTTAGGTGCTAGAGAAGGCAGGTCTGCATTACGTCATTGTCAAAGTCATCGCAAAACCACTGCAGCAGGCCCATTTTATACTTGGACAGTCTTGCTACAACTCACACTTACCTGACTTCATTCCCAGTAAACTGAGCTAAGCCTGAGGATGGTATTTTGAGCCTATGCTAAAGTCTATGAGTGTGATGTGCAAAATCATCATCATTTCACAAATCCCAGTTAGAACACTAAACCAAAATATGACTAATGACAAATTCAATACTTCACATTAAATGTAGGTATGGATGGCAAATAAATTTACTGACCTTTACTAAAATGCCTCTTACTTTCAGCAGAAAATTCTAGCCAACACAAAAGGACTTACTCCCTACAATGCCAGTAAAAATATATTCAGTGCTTAAAGAAGCAGTGATGAATACATACAATGGAATATGCTCAGCTATAAAAAGATGAAATCCTGCCATTTGCAATGATGTGGATGGGCCTAGAGGTAATTATGCTTAATGAAATAAGTCAGACGGAGGAACATAAACACTGTATGATTTCACTCATATGATTTCACTATATGCAATAACACAGAGATCCCACGCAAACAAATGAACTAAATAAAACAAAAATATACTTTAAATTATAAAATCAAATTAGTAGTTATCAGAAGGAACTTAATGTAGTATATACTGATGTTGATTTATAATGATGCACACTTGAAACTGACAGACTGTTAGAATCCAATATTATTGCAATAAAAAAAAAATTGTTATATAATCAGTGGCACCCACCAGGTAACTATTTGCTATTCTTTATTCTAAATCTGATTCAACAACTGTGCAAAACTTTATAATCCCATAACATGTGTATCAGGGAACAAGGAGAGGCCGGGAAATTGGTCAAGGCCTGAGTCACCAAGGCAATCTGGAAATGTCCCCTTAGTGTGCTCACAGACAGGAGGACAGCTCAGGTCATGGGCGGGGAAGGGGTTGGACTCTGCAGCTTATGTAACTAAAAGTTACCCAGCTGTTCCACTGACAACAAGAACAATACAATAACCATTAGTGATTATGTACTCTTACTGAGCTGTGGCCACTGGTAAGAATAGAGATTTTTAAATTCTACCTGCTACCCTGCAATCAGCACAGATCCTGCCCCTATTCCATTTGGACTATTCTTTTCCTACATTAAAAACAGCCCACTCTGTCAGTCTTAGCAGTTATTCCTTCTGCTTTCTGAAACATCAATGCCAGCACTGTTTGTTCCCCAAATATGCTGCTCTTGCTATTTAAGACTTGGGTTCTAGTTTCTATCCTATCCTGATAGCGATCTCTATGTATATCTCATCTTTGGAAAAATCTCAACCTCTGGCCTTTTTAAAAAAAATAATAATAACATTATTCAAGACTGTCCTCCCACCTCTTCTCAAAATGTGTGAATTTTTTTTGGCATTTTTTTATTTTGTTTCTTAGTATTTGCTCGGTGTCTCACTCACCCATTCATTCCTTTATTCATGTATTCAAGAAACAAGACAGGCATGTACTCTAGCCCAAGTCCCGTGCTTAATGCTTGGGTTACAAGAAGAGAATCAGATGATTCTGACGGTCAGACAACCAGAGAAGAAATTCAAAGTCATATGTAACAACCTGAGATGCTGCGGGAGCTGGAGCAAGAAGCAGCAGTCAGAGGGTGAATTTGTTTGTGCTGGAGAAATAGATTTGTTCAAGAGACATTTAAAAGGTTCCCAAAGGAGATGAGTCTTAATTATCTTATCAATATCTTATCAAGTGGGCAAACTGTAGAAGGGACAGAAAGCAGGAAGGAAGAACAAAAAGTAGCATGAACTGGAGAACAGAGAACACCCCAAATGGTAGAGCATAGGTGACAAGGATGGTGAGTAACTAGAATAGCAAAGAGTAGTGGAAGAGAAAGAAATGTGGGCACAGGTGTATGTTCTCCAAGTTTAAGCTTGGTGAAGTATGAACACAGAAGTGTCTTCCCTTGCTGCTTAGAAAAAGAAAGAAAAAAAATCCTGTCATTGGAAATGTTCCCCTGTTAAGAAGTATTGGTAGGGCAATCAAAGACCCAAGGAACTGAATGGATAATTAGCCAATGGGATGAATACTTAACCTCAGAGATTCCCACTCATCTACAGAAGTACACAAGTGAAATGAAAATGAAGTCTGTGGTTGAGAAGGAATTTCCCCCCTAGGTCACACTGGCATGGATCTCGAGGGCTCTTTGGTAGTTGCTCTTCTCCTTTTCAGGAGAACTGGTAGCAGAGTCCTTTGGAGAAAACATCTGTTTCCATGTAATGTCAAGACGAGATCAAGTGCAGAACATGATGCAATTCTATGCTTTTCTCAATAATTACTTAAATTATTTTTCTTGGAGCGAAACCGACAACCTGGTAGCTTGGCTGACAGCACCAATTTGCCATCTTGGAAGAGAATAATTTTGAAGCTTTAAGTTCCATACCCACAGGCTTAAAATAAATGAAGAAGAAAGATGTGGTCTCAGATTCAGAATGGATGGTCCTTTGTTACTTAACAATTTGGAGCCGATCTGGTGCTTGTGGTTTGTGGTTTAATTCAGAATCATTGTATTATGTCAGGAGTCTTGTGACTTTTCCTGTCTTCTTTGTTCAGGATGGAGCTTGGAATGTATTATTTGTTTTAGTATTACTACCACGTACTTACCAGCTAGGACAAAAAGAAATTAACTTCTACTGAGCCACAGGCACTAAGTTAGATAGGGAATAAAGTACATAAGAGGAAAATGTTTTATTTCTTCTCATTCGCTGCTTCATATACATCTTTTTTAAAGATGTGGTCTCACATTTAAATTGAATATTATTTTGTCCTTCTGTATCAGTGTGTTTTGACTTTTCCAATTTTTGTCCTTTTTTTTTTTTTTTTACTATATCTCACCAGAAGAGTCTCTGGCACACTGTCTGCCATTGATATACATATTTGTTGAATGAATGAATGAATGAATCAGTCAATCAAAAGCATTCATCTGAGTCACCTACATTCTTTGCTTCTGTAATCTTGACTTTTAAATATTCTCATTCTGAGACCTTTTATGATGGCTTCCCATCTTGACCCAAAATGATCTTTGGGCTTCCCTTAGGAGTCTGCAATCTGCAAGTATTTTGTTAGCAGTCAGTGGGGATGACACACACTTCTGCTCTTACCTCCTGATATTTCCTTCCACAGTCAAAGCTTCCTAATTATGTTGGCTGAACATGCTAGAATTTCCTTCCAATTCAAATTTAATAGAGTTCAATTTTTTCCTCAGTCTATTTAACTACTTTTCTTTTAATCCTTTACAACTAAATAAAATTGTACAAATTTTCTTATTTCACATTATCTCCAAGAAGTAACCTCACCATTCTCATTTTGTATATTAACTGTTACCGAATGAAGCATTCTCTTCTGTATAATTTGTTCAAGAAAATGTTCCAAAGTAATCTCCCTTTCTCCTTATTATAACCATACTTCCTCCTTGCTTAAAAATCTTTCAATTTCTGTTTTGGATAACCTAATCAGTCATATATACTTTAATTCTGTTTTTTCATTTGAGCAAAACACTATAACATGTTACCTTCAGCATTTACCCAACAGCTCTAAAATATCAAATTACTGCTAGTAGTCTTTAAATACAAAAGTAGAAAGCAACTAGATGTAAATTTCAAAATTTAAGACATTAAGTTAGTCCTCTATTTAGCTTACAGAAAATCCCTATAGAAAGCCTTTGTAGAAAAGTGAAAGTAAGACAGATTCCACACCCTTTGACCCAACAGTTACAATCTAGGAATTTATCCTAAAGAGACAATCAAGGACACACTGTTCATAACAGTGAAAGAATAGCCACTGGTAGAAATGTTTGTTCATTAACAAATTTTTTTTAAAAAGTCATGGTAAATCATAAGGGAAGGGAAAGGGGTGGGCATATTGGGGCAAAGGGAACAGATGTATGGTGGAGGATGGAACTGGATTTTTAGTGGTGAACTTAATGTAGTATAGACACATGTCAATGTCCAGTGATGCATGCCTGGAACGTATATAATGTTATAATACAGTGTTACTTTAAAAAACATGGTATAACAATAATAGAATTTAATTGAACTTTAAACATGGAACTGAGAAAATTATAGATATGAAGAAACTGGTAACAAATTCCACACAATCCCATTTGTTTAGAAAAAGCATCTATCTAAAAATATATAAATGTACAAAAACAAAGAAAATAATCCAGTCAAAAAATGGGCAGAAGAGCTAAAAATGGGCAAAGAGGAAATACAAATGGCCACCAGGCATATGAAAAAATGTTCAATGTCACTTGCAATCAGGGAAATGCAAATCAAAACTACAATGAGATACCATCTCACACCAGTGAGAATGGCACATATTAAAAAAACTAGCAACAACAAATGTTGGCGAAGATGTAGAGAGAAAGGAACTCTCCTGCACTGCTGGTGGGAGTGCAAACTGATCCAACCACTATGGAAAGCTGTGTGGAGATTCCTCAATCTACTAAAGATAGAGCGTCCATATGATCCAGCAATTCCACTCTTAGTTATTTACCCAAAGGACACAGAAACATTAATTCCAAAGAGCACCTGCACCCCTATGTTTATAGCAGCACAATTTACAATAGCTAAGCTTTGGAAACAACCCAAATGTCCAAAAATAGATGACTGGATCAAGAAGATGTGGTACATACACAATGGAATATTACTCAGCATTCAAAAAAGATAAACACATGCAATTTGCAGCAACATGGATGGCGCTGGAAGGGATCATGCTCAGTGAAATAAGCCAGAAAGAAAAAGAAAAATACCGGATGGTCTCACTCATAACAAGAATCTAGAAAACCTAAATAAGGGACCAGGAAAAAAGAATAACTATAAGAAAGAAAAAAATCAAAATCAACAAACAACTATGAACCAGAGACACACTTTGGCGGGGGGGGGGTGGAGGGGCGGAGAAAGGAGGGATTAGGGTCAAAATCAGGGGGTTGCAATTGTATGGGGAATATAAAAATAAAAAAAAAGTTAAAAAATTTTTTTTGATTTCCAACTTATCTTTGAGAATAATTTAAGACACAAATACCATTAGGAAAAAAAAAATATATATATATAAATGCTTACAAAATATTGAAAGTTGAGACATTAAAAGTTAGCTGTGGTTATATCTCAGTGTTGGACTCCCAGATAATATTAGTTTTCTTCTGTGCTTTCCTTTACTTTCAATTTTTTTTCTGTTATAAAAGTGTGCATTCTTGGGCCTCCCCAGTGGCGCAGCGGGTTGAGTGCTGCGCTATAAAGCTGTCCGCAGCCTCTGCAGCGCGGTTTCAATCCCGGCTGGCCAGGGAGAATCCCACATGGCGCGCAGACCTCTCCTGCCATGCCCGCTGCTTCCCTCAGCAGTGTCTTTGGTCCGTCTTCCTGTTCTGCTCCCCACTCTGTCTCTGGTGAATTCTCTCACCCTCCCGCACCTCTGACTGTACCCACGTCCTTGTATAAATAAATAAATCTTAAAAAAAAAAGTTTAAAAAAGGTGTGCTATTCTTTTAATGAGATTTAGAACTGTAATCAAAATTTATGTATGCATATTTCAATGTTACATAATTTGGAGTCCTAGACAACATTTCACTTTTTCTCCTCTTTTTTTTTTAATATGCATTTATTTATGTGTAGAAGGAATGGGGTGTAGGTCAGAGGTGCAGGAGTAAGAGGATTCACCAAAGATAGAGGGGGGAGCAGAACAGGCAGATTTACTGAAACTGCTAAGGGGAGCAGTGGGCAAGACAGGAGAGGTCTGCTGGGTCAATCTCCCTGGCCTGGGATTGAAGTCAGGCTGTAGTGGTGATAGTGCTGAAACTTGGCCCCGAGGCCACCAGGAAGGCCCTCCTTCTCTTTACTTATTCATGTATCTTCTCTTCCACTTCTGCTTTGTTTATGTGACACATACTTTCAGGAACATATTCCTTAAACTTATTGACCCCCAGGTGGGAGTATTTACTCTCTTCTTTCCGTTCAAATATGATTTGATTCTAACCTGTGATTGAAGATGAAAGAAACCCTTACCTGAATATCAGTCAGTTTCTCCAAGAGCCTGCTAGCCAGCTTAGGCCCATGCTCCATAGTTGGAATATGCAGAGTCTGTGAACATAAACCAGACATGATGTACTTTGAGAATATTCCCATATCAGTGACAAGAAGGAAGACACTCAACTACAGTATGCAGAAAGACAGCCCCCCTGAGATGAGGGATGTTACTATGAGAACCTGCTTGTATGTACTAGCTTCTTATGCCAGATTCTTTCCTTCTTTTTTTCTTTCTTTCTTTCTTTTTATTTTTTTGCATAGAACAACTGGGGTGTAGGCCCAGGAGGTGAGAATTGCAGGAGGTGAGAGGATTCACCAGAGACAGAGTAGGGACCACAACAGGCAGGTTGACTGAAATACACTAAGAGGAGCAGCCAGCGAGACAGGAGAAGTCTGCTGCATGTGGGTTAGCTCCCTGGCTGGGGATCAAACTCAGGCTGTAGGGGTGATAGCAGCCATCAGGGAGGCCCCTCTCTTTTTTTAAAAACTGTCTTATGGGGCCTCCCTGGTGGCGCAAGGGGTTAAGATGCAACCTATGAAGCTATCTTCAGCCACTGCAGCATGAGTTTGATTCCCGGCCAGAGAGGTGACCCACATGGCGCAGCAGACCTCTCCTGACTCACCTGCTGCTCCCCTCAGCCCTGGATTTCAGTCAATCTGCCTGTTCTGTTCCCCACTCTGTTTCTGGTGAATCCTCTCACCACCCCCCACACACCTAGCTTGTACTCCATAAATTAATAAATCTTTAAAAAAAAACTCTTATTTTTATTGAGGTGGTGCTGGTATACAATATTGCATATGATTCAGAGGTATAGGTTCACACCTCTTCAGAAGTATGACTTTTTCCTATTCAAATCTGAATAAAAATAAACTAGCCAATGAGAGATCACTTTTTGTCTATAGGCTGACTTTGGGGCACAGCTGGTTTATATGCCAGTCTTCAGTCTGATTTGAGGAAACAATGAGATGCAAAGGGTATCTAAAATAGTGGCTAAAAATCCTACCTCTTCCAAAAGTCTGAGAACCTACAGGGATGAACAAGTGGCCGCCATGTGAAACCCTCTTGTCAGAGAGTGAGAATCCAAAGCTATTTGGCCACAATTAAAATCAAGTCATTTCAGGGACTTAAAGAAAGCCAGTGTATGCCTTCACAAAGGGGGTTTTTAAACCTACCTCTGTTCCAAGCCAACCTCCAAGGCCACAAACTCCACCATGTTGGAGAAGATGGTTACATTCAGGGCTGAGAGAGATTTCATGTCTCTAATTTATACCAAGTTGTGCCCATTCATGCCTCGCTGGCTAATGAGCTTTTTGATGTTTGATTTTAGTAGACAGAGTGTGCACTTACTTTTCTTATTATGTTTTTTTAGGATAATTAGAGGCACCTTTTGGCACTGACTGCCCCCAAAAACACGACCTTAAAAGTATGTCAAACTTTGTAAACTTATTTCTAGAAGTGAAATAATACTGAATTTAAAATATGAGCTCATGACAACTTTAATTCATTAAAAAGGTCAACGAATAATATATTACATAGGTATTAATATATTATACTAATATATTATAACATAACATAATATATTAGTAATATAATATACTAATATAATATAAAACAGAAACTTTATAATCAGTACAATGTTGAACTATCACAGACTCATTCTCCCCTTGAAACAATGAATCTGTGGACAGACTTATGTCAGGAGCCATTTCCTAAAAGTAAGTTAAAAAACCTCAACAATAAAGCAGTCACCATTATAATCAGCAGAAAAAGACAATTCAATCAGCTGAGGAAAAATAATGTTGAGTTTACAAAGCAATAAAAGTATACTCAATATGAGTGACATAATTGAATTCATAACTTGAGACTAAAACCCACATGTTCTTAGTTACAGAATTAGGTGATTTTTTTTTAAAAAAAGATTTATTTATTTATTTATTTATACAAGCACTGGGTACAGTCAGAAGTGCGGGAGGGTGAGAGAATTCACCAGAGCCAGAGCGGGGAGCAGAGCAGGCAGAAGGACCAAAGTACACTGCTGAGGGGAGCAGCGGGCGGCAGGAGAGGTCTGTGCAACATGTGGGACACTCGCCGGTGGCCAGGGATCGAACCGGCGCTACAGAGGCTGCGGGCAGCTTCGCAGCCCAGCGCTCAACCACTGTGCAACCAGGGGAGGCCCTTAGGTGATGATTTTAATCGTATTAGTTTTGTTAAAAAGGGGAAAGCAAAAAAAAAACTGACAAGAAAATAGAAGTATTGCACAAATAAAGTCAGGTTAGCTTACTGGGAAAGAGAATTTCTACCCACGAAATGTTTGAATTGTTTTGGGAAGATTTTAATAAATGTACCAGCTTTACCAAATGAAAACTTTTTATAAACTGATCTAAATAATGATGATGATGATGGTGATGATGAATATAGGAGTTGATCAAATTCATTTTGCATTCCTATTGTAGTAGTTTGGAAGTATTTTTTTTTTAAGATTCATTTATTTATGCATATAAGAGCTGAGGTACAGGCCAGAGATGCGGGGGTGAGAGGATTCATCAGAGACAGAGTGGGAAACAGAACAGGCAGATTGACTGAGATAAACTGCTGAGGGGAGCAGGAGAGGTCTGAGGGGAGCAGGAGAGGTCTGAGGGGAGCAGGTGAGACAGGAGAGGTCTGCTGCACCGTATGGGTCAAGTCCCTGGCCGGCAGGGGATGGATCTCAAACCACGCTGTGCTGTGCTGCAGTGGCTGCGGATAGCTTCAAGTGCTGTGACTTAACCCCTTGCGCCACCAGGGAGGCCTGGAAGTATTTTTGGAAACCAGAACCTGAAATCTAACTACCTTCCCTCATGAGTTGGTAGAAAAAAATAAGTGTGGAAATCAACTGGCACATCTTCAATCCCTAACTTGGCAGAAGGAAGATATGATACTGGCCTAAGGAAGATACTGACTTTCCCACCTTTTTGAACATACATGAAACCGGAAAGATGATCCTAAGTAATTTGCTAACAAAGGTTCATGAAGACAAATTGCCCCCCAATTAATGGAATGACAAGTTAAAACAAAAAAATTTTGCATCCTGGGTCCAACTAGCATGTCATTCACACATTCAAAAAATTAAGCTATAGGCAAATGTTTGGGAATGATGGGAAGAGAAGAAATGCTGCCTTACCTCACCCTTGTGCAGTATCTCCGACACTGGGCAAACCACGCAGGCAGTACCAGAGCCAAACATCTCCCTCACTCTGCTGCCCTCCAGGGCTGCAGTCAGCTCATCCATGGTGAGGTACCTCTCCGACACCTTAAATTCACCCTGTGTGGAATGTGAAAAATAAAAATATACCGTAAAGGAAGAGCCATCTGAAACAAAGCCTGCAAATTTACCCTTATCCCCATCGCCTTATTTTCCTACTTTATATTCTGACTGAATTCAGATAATGTCATAATCATCTTGGAGGGGGAAATTAAGGGAAGCAACACTATCTCACTGGAGAAAACACTGAGATGAGATGTCCCATCTACTGCAAAGTCACAGAATCTCCAAATGAGATGATCAGAAGTAAAATGTAAGATTATTCTGACAAACCACTTGGTCTATTTTCATCTATACCTGCTTTTGAGCTTTTTATTTATTGTTATGGGTCAAGTCTCCCAAGTTATGACACCCTGAGTAGTGCTTAATGTCTTCTCCACTCACACCTGAACCCTATGTTATTACAAGAGACTATATTAGTCTATAATATCAATAACTATAGCTACTATTTATCTAGCACCCATTGTAAGCCAAGTTCTCTCATTTTTCAGGTGGGTGTTATTTATAGATGAGGAAATTAGGGTTCAGGAGGCTGACTGACATCCCAAGACTATACAGCAAGTAAATTGCAGAAAATCTATTTGAACTGAGGTTTGATGAGAACTGCTTCACATTTGGTCCTCTTTTTATTGTGTCTTTTATGGAGTAAAAACAAAAACTCAGTTTAAATATTTAAAATTTTCATAATTTTAAATCACTGAAGGTACATTTTGATTTTACTTGTGAAAATGAATTGTCCATTCATAGACATATTGATCAGTGGCTCAGTAATAGGAATAGTGAACTAGGATTCAGTAATATTACCTGTGAACCCTAAATCCACTGATTCAGCTGACTTTACATCATTTATCCTCTTCCTTCTCTTTTAGGATCACATAGGTTGAGTTTCAACATAGAATTTTTGGTATAATTTCTTTGCTTTTTGAATTATTTGATCATTTTATTTTCTCAAGGATGGAAAATGAAAAAAAATGCTGATCCTTTTTAAGCTATTCAGTTTATACAATCTGTTTAATAGTCATTCTGTAATCTGTTTAATTCTTATTCTTTTATATTAGTGATTTAAAGTTCAAAGTTTGCCAATAGGCTATTTGAATTAAGGATAACAAAGAATGGATGTATTTTTTAAAATAAGAAGAACACATTTTTTAAAACCGATAAATGCACAGGAGATGAAAATGGAAATCACAGGCAAGATTCAAAACATGAACTTAAGAACTACATTTGGAAGGGCAACAAAATATGTCTACAATATAAATAAGACTTTCTGAAAGTTTCAGCCTATCACAGTTTGCAATTGCAATGATGTTGTCCAAAGGTAAATAAAGAAATAAAGAAATAAAACCATCCCACAAACCAGCCAAGTTAACTGAAAACAAGCTGAGTTCTGTGTTCTGGATAAGGGGGAGGGGGAGAGTCTCTTGTAAATAAACAGAATTGTTTTTCCTCTGCTCACCCTTACTTATCTTTGGACAATTTCCCCTGTCTGGCAAGTAATGGTAACCCCCCACATGCCTCTTGGCATTTATGTCTCACTGTTTTAAAATAGCTTTTAAAATAAATTACAGCTAAGGAGTCAAGAAAAAACTTCCTCCATAATAACCTATTTTTCATGCTAGCAAATCATTAGTGTGGGAAGCCATTTCCACTTGCAGCTTGTCATCAAACCTTCTGTACTTGGTGGATTTTTTTTCCTTTAATAAAACAACAATTACCGAGCTTCAAAAATACATCTTTCCAACTGCAAACATATTTAGGACAGGGCAAGCTGTTTGAAATTATACCAACAGTTTGTAAATGTCATGCCCAATGTGCCAGCCAGCATGTGGCAGTTGGGTCTTGTCTACTTCGGGGTTTTGTAGGATTATTTATAGCACATTTCTTCTATTTCCAAAGCCTTTTCCAGAGAAACTGTGCTGGTACTCTCCTAGATAATGCATGTGTTTCTAAACATTTGTCCTATTAAGACTGTTTGACCACAGTCCGTCCAAAGTCTTTTCATAGTCTCTAGAGACCATTTGAACACATGGGTCAAAAGTTCCAGCCAAGGAGTTTGGCCAGATAACCAGCTCATTGAGAATTCATCTTGAGTATGTTATCACGTCATTTCCAATACCAAAGGGTTGAGCACACTTGTCTGTATTACATAGATCAGAAAGTCTATGGAAAATAACTCTTAATTTGCCTGGGTGTTTGACTTTAAAATATGCCTGAATGTGAACTAGGGAGGACAAAGGGCAGGAAGGAGGGAGAAAGAAGGCAGCCAACTAATAATGTATGTTCCTAGACATTTATAAGTCAATAAAATATCTTTAACTTCCATGACAAGCATGGTGACAACGGAATAAAGAAAGGAAGGGCAGAACTAGTATCACTACTATTTGGGAACAACACATTCAGACTTGCAAAGGTAAGGGCTGCCCTGATGGGAGCCCCTGAAGCAAAGACCAGGTGAGCTGGTAGGAGACAGGGAGCACAGCTGGAGACTAGCGCTGGCACACTCCTTTGCTGGGACAACTTGCTAAACTGGTTTCTCTCTGCCCTCCCTATAAACAATACTTATTTGATAGTCTTGCCAAGACAGTTCTTCTAAGAGAGTTTTTTTCACTCTAGTTAAGCTTTAAAGATTAGATAACATTGGTTGGAATGAGAGGATATTATTTCAACACGAAGTTGGGCTTATTTTGGTTACGTTTTGTTTCATGCTTATAAACAATGTTCAAGCCAAAGGCACCCACCCACTTGTGTGCCAGGTCCAGAATGCTCTGCCTTGTCACTCCTGGAAGAATGATGCCATCTAGCGGAGGGGTTGCCAGTTCTTCTTCTGTCAATTAGAAAATGGAATATTTTCAAACTTGAGCTGTATTAGCCTTGCCTAATATCAATAGTCATTTTTTATAACTATTTCTGGCAATTTTGCTAGTAAGGAACATGAAGATGATGTTACTGTATTGCATCATCAGATTTCCCAAATCAATTCAATTCAAGTAGGTCCTTATTTTAAAGATACATATAAATATATATGAAAGAAGAGAAAGCAAGCCACTCATTTAGTCCTCTCCAATTTAGCCAATAAAAAAGAGATAATTTTTCTACTGACAATGAAAGTTTTTTTGGAACATGCTGAAGAGAACCACGCTGAAGTCAACATTTACCATACTAGACTAGCACTGATCAGTGATTAGAATAATGTAGAGAGGGTCTTTTTAGCAATACTAGTCATTACCAAGCCTTATAATAATACTGCGGAAGAGCCCAGTACCTGTGCACACATTGCCCTTTGCTGAGACTGTCCATAATGATTTTCAGACCTGATGAAGCAGTCACATCAAATAGAAAGATGCTGACTTCACCCTCTGAGATTCAAATATAATGGTCTCAGGGTGGGTGCAATTTGTATGTGGCTAACAAGGTAAAAAAACAAAACCTCACAGGGCAACCTTGGACAACCAAGGTCAAGACTGCTAACACTGGGAGGCTGGATATCTGCAGGGTGAGTGTGCTCTGTTTGCTGTTGCAGTTCTACTTGGAAAAGATGCCTCAGGTTCTGAGCATACTCCTCGCCTCTCCACATCTGGTACCCAGGGATGTGAATCTTGTGACAAATGCAAACCCTAAATCATCAGTTTGTGAAGAAGTAGGACTTTATACAGAGGATGTGTTGCTCATCATATGTTTATAAAGGAGTTCACTTGAAGGGATCACCTGGGAGCCAAAGCCATACAGAAATCACACTGGCGTCTTTGAGCGCTTTTTGGCAGCAAAATAGGACTCACCTGTTTAAGTTCTTTCAGAATCATCTCATGCAATTTGTACATTACAGAAAAAGAAACTGAGATCCGTATCAACAAGTCACTTGATGTGTGGTTGGTGATACTGGAGGACAGTCAAGACCAGAGCCTAAGGGACCCGAAACTGGCCTCTGCCTTTCCTCTGGTCTGGGCTCAGCCACTCTGCTATGCTTACATCAACATCCCCCACGGCCAAGCCATGTGAAAGACTGAAGCTCTATTCATTCCCATATCCCTAAAACTCGGCATCATGCCTGGCCCAGAGTGGTCTATAATATATGTTTTCGAATAAAAAATAAATGAATAATCCTCTTTGCTAGGCTATAGCAGTATGACTTTTTTGAATTTTGTTTCTAAAAATCATCTGCTGGAAACTGCTTTCTGGAAAGAAGAAAATTTGTTCTTGGCAGTGTTCTTGGGGCTACTTTTTGTCATGTTTAGAAGTGTTGATCTCAAAATAAACCTGTTTTTTGCAATAACTAGCTGGATGTATACTGTGTGGATCTATATGTGTGTACATGCACAACACCGCCCTCAGAGACAAACACACGGCCAGTGCCCCAGGAAGGTCTGGGTGCTCGCTGAGCTCTAAGACCACACCAAATTAAATAAAAACAGTGGCCCTTTTGCAAATGCAGTTTTGTAAAATATATTTAACACCCAAAACTGTAACCACTAGCCTGAGGTCAAGGAACAGAACATCTGTTTCTCTGGTTGCCAGACAGAGATGATGACATGACAACATTTGGGTGAGAAATATTCATTTTCCTCTGCAACCACAAACATGCTCACAAGAGCCAGAACTAGCTCCAGATTGCCCAACATGAGGAAAACAGAGCCTACAAACGCAGCTTGTTTTTGACAGAAAAATCATTTTTAGGGGATGAGGAATGTAGAAGCAATAACAGCAGGATTCATCTGTGACTTCCCAAAGTCAGGCACTAATGGGAACCAGGAATGTGGGTTTGCATAAATGCCCTAACCACTGTCAGCACCGTTAGTCATTTATTCAACAAATATATCCTGAGTGTCTCCCAGGAGCAGCTGGCTGGTCCAAGCACCATGGATACAGCAGTGACCAATCCGACAGGCCCCCTGCTCCCTTTCTAGTGGGCAAGAGCTAACAATCATGTTAAATAGTATGTTAGATTGGTGGGGGGTGGGTGGGAAGGAGAGTGATGGAGAGTGCCGAATGAGGGAGTTGGCGATACTTACTACGGAGTTCTTACTGGGAATGAAATATGTGGGCAAAAGCTTGAGGGCAGAGAAAGATCAAGCGCTGTTGCCTCCGAGGGCAGAGGGCTCCGGGCAGAGTCAGTATAATGTGCCTGATGTGGGGAAAGCTCATGGGTCCTCAGGGGACTACAGTAGCATCAGCTCTCTTGGCCATGACCATTCTTCCCAGTGGGACTGAACTCAGTCACGAGGACTGGGGCTTATTTTCTGGGTAACTCATGTTCAATACAAGATAAAAGTTTTTCTAACAGTGACAAGCTAGTGTGCGCAAGTTCCATTACTCGTCTCAGAGTGAAAATGAGAATGGGGTCTCTGTGATCTTAGCACCATGCTTTCTGTTACCGAAATCAACATCCACATGATTTCCAGACCATGTGCTTCAAATCGTCCCCTCACACAGCACTATGCTGTGCACACAGATTCTCTCCTTTGTTTACCCAGCTGTTCCAAAAACAGCCATTCTGGAAAAATGGCTGGTTAAGACAACGCACTCTGCTTGTAACCCCTGTTGAAAGTTTGTTGAAAAAAATCAATATTTTGTTGATTTCTTAAAAACTAATTATTTATATGTTCCCAAAACCACATGGTATAAGTCAAGTCACCACAGAGGTGCTTCAGTGTCTGTTTCCTTTGCTCAAATGTTAGTCCTGATTTCTACTTCATTTCTCTCATGCTTTCCTTTCTCCTTACTTCAAATTTTATTTGATCTAAAGGGACATAGTCACATTAAAACTAAGGCAACGCAGGCAATCATAATCTGAATAGAAACTCTTAATGGTATATATTATATAAGTCAGAAAACAAATTCACTCATTTCTTTCTGACCTTTAAAAGCAATGAAGAAAATAGTCCATGATTATTGTTTGAATAAGGGGTGATTTTTCACCAGGACAGTTTCTATTTAAATCATGTAGCTTTGATTCAGACTGTGTTTAAATCTTGACATTTTCCATCCACAAATAATGATGTTACCACTTCTGTATGATGCAACTGTTTTTGTTGAGGTGTGTCTTTTGGGGGGAGAATGGGAAGAAGAGCAGGCAAGTGGGAGAATGAGTTGAATCAATCTATTGTCAGAGAGTTCAACCCTGGTCACCTTGCAAGCTTGCCTTTTGATATGTCTTATGCCATAACTCAAATTTAGAAATCACAAATACTCCAGTATAAATTTTGTTTTTAAATAGTGCCCAGTACAAACAGCAGGAATGGAAAGAGCATGGTGTGTCACCGGCTTTTCATATGCCAAGGGTTACCCAGGGCCTAACTCAGGACAGGGCGGATTCCCCACACCTTCTGTTTATTCTGCCTCTGACTGGAACCTAAGCCTCATCCTCTTAGTCTCTGCAACCGATACTCAGATTGCTATGTAACTCTGAAGTCAGCCACATCTGAATCATCATTTTCCTCTGTATGTAGCCAAATAACAAAAGAGAAATACAAGCTATTGGAACTGCTTTAAAAAATAAAAAAATCCTTAAAATTTAATTGAAATGAATACCAAGTTATAAGTATTTGGACATGTGTCATTTTACATTTCTAGTCTTCACACTCAGTGCTGTGAAGTGAATAGTCTAGGAATGTAAACAAGTCTAAAAATATTTTTAAAGTTTTTATGGCTACTAAAACTCTAGAGGAAATGAACACACCTATCTGTATTTTTCCCTTACATTTGTCATTTAATAGAATGCCATGGACTTTGCTAGCACCTCACCAAACCCCTCTGTTTTCTGCCAACAAATTTAAAAATAATAGCAAATGGAGATAATGAGCATTCAGGATAATAAAGTACCAAATTCTAAAGTAAACATATTAGTAGTCCTGAATGAACCAAGAGTTAAGTAAATCCCCAAATGGACCAATTTGTCCTTAAAGTAGTATACTTTAATCAAACTAAGGTTCAGAGTAAACCTGGAAGACTTCTGATCAAACAGTGTATAAAAGGCACCAACTGTTAGAAGAGTAATAGCAGCAAAGTACAGTAAATTTCATTTATCAGCACAATTAATAGAACGACCACATTTACCACAATACCCCTTTATGCATACAGTAAAATGGTGAATGACCACTGAAATGATCTGAGACCTAGCTCCAAAGGCAAGGGATTTTAGATAGACATTAAAAAAAAAAAAGTGTTGGGCCTCCCCTGGTGGCACAGCGGTTGAACGCTGCGCTGTGCTGCGAGGCTGCAGCCTCTGCAGCGCTGCTTCATTCCCCGACCGCCGGGGAGGGTCCCACAAAAAAAAAAAAAAAAAAAAAATGTTAAGATGACAAAGGGAGAAGGTGGCAAATCTTCTATTGTAGGGACTGAAATTTGACATCTGAGTGATAAGTACATCTAAAGCTGAAACAAACAAAAAAAAAATTTTTAAGTTCTATAACTTCAATTCATGTCTATTTGGACAGTAAAAGCACAGTGATTCTTAGCCTTTGGAATTTTTCTAGTTTACTCCTTCTAAGGTTCAAGTGTTTTTCTTTTCCGTTTCATTCAAATTATTGAAAGATATCAAAGAGCTGGAATCTGAGTGGATTACCTCCATCTTCATTTATCCAGTAAAGAAAAAGATTCATAGTTCCAACTTCCGTTATCTGATTGTCCTCTCCATAGAGCCACAGTACCTGCTGACACCCGTTATCCATTGCTTCACATTGGGCAAAAAGAGATGAGGCATAATTCCTTTGAAGAAAGAGGAAATATACTGATCACGAATCTACTTCAACCTCAAGCACTAAAATCCTCAAGTCTTTAATTTACATGTGGTTATAATCAGTGTTCTTTCTCCTTCTCTCTCTCACACACAGACACACACACAGAGAGACACACAAACACACACACACATACACACACATTAACTGCATAACATTAAAGAAAGCTCATTAGAGAACTAAGCGATCTAATTGCATTCATTTGCCATAACATAGCAAAATATTATGGAACTCTAACTTGAAAGTAGTGATGATACATGAACACAGGTAAATAACCTAGTTAATAACAGAAGTTATTGAGGTTTTTTCACATACCAAGCAATTCTCATAAATTATTTCATTGAGACCTCCCATGAATACTATGATCTAGCCATTATGATTATATCCATAGTTCAGATGAGAAACTGGGGCTTAGAGAAGTAACTTGTGTCAAGTTATAGCAATTAAGTAGCAGAGCACAAAGCCTGTGCTCTTAATGGAGACCTTTAATACATCCAAGAAATACCCAGTACCCGATATGGAAATCCCCCCCCCCAAAAAAAGGGGACAAAATGGTAAAAATGCTGCTTTAACCCAAAAGTATTTAGAAAATCCCTTTTTTCTCAACCAACACTTTTCATCTTGATTATTCAAAGTCAAGGAATAAATACCTTTTATAATAATAAATATTATTATTTATTATATAATATAATATAATTATATTATATATAATTATATAATATATAATATAATATTATATAATTATATAATATTATTATATAATATTATATAATAAATACCTTTTATAAATGGCAGTACAGTTCAACAGTAGTTTATTACCTGATTGAACTTAAATGGGAAAATTTGGGAGGCATCTACACAATAGGATGAAAGTATTAGATAGAGCCTAAGAGTCCTGAAATAAATAGGATGTTTGCTTGCCTCCCACTGGTTGTATAATTCACTCTCCTTGACTCTCAGAGAGCTGGAGCAAACAGTGTGAATAGCACTACCACAGGACAATCAGGACTAGCAAATAAGCCCTGGACCCACATTTGGCCTACAAAGCCCCCAGGAATACATATAAATAATCAATCAAGCATACAATAATAATGACTGCAACGTATTAATGTTATCTTCTACAAAATACCCCTCGAGACTTTTAATGACCTTTTTTTACATCTGGGCAAGATTAAATGTGAAGTACTGTCTAATGGGACATAAGCACAAGAGTCATATGTTACAGAGGCTGTCTGCTATTAACTGCCATGCCTATCTGCACAACTTCCTACTCTGTTCTCTTTGGTCCTTCTTAAGAAACCAAGTCATTCTGCTTGAGTTGACAATCACAGCATCTTGCCCTGCACAAGTTAAGGGATGAATATATCATCTAAGCTGTTCACATAATTCTTCTTTGAGTTCATTCACTTTTTCATTTAAATTGAAATAACACTGCATTATATAAGTTTCACATGTGCAATCCATACAAATCAACCTTTCTAGGTACAACATCAAAGTCCAATGTTATCCTTGACCACACAGTTGACCCTTTGACCCAATTTACCCCTATATCTTTCCCCCTACTCTTCTGGTAACCATGCATTCCTCTAATAGTTCTAAAAGTTTACTTTTGTTTTATTTAGGTTGTCCATTTGGATTCCCTATATACCACATATGAATGAAATCATATGGTGTTTGTCTTTCTTCATTCTGGCTTATTTCACATAGGCTAATACCCTCTAGTTCCATTCATGCTATTGTAATGGCAAGATTTCAACCTTTCGTTCATAGCTGAGTAGTATTCTGTTGTGTGTAGATGCATGTGTATATATATATATGTGTGTGTGTGTATATGTATAGTATTCTGTTGTGTGTGTATATATGTATGTGTGTATATATATATATATATATATATATAGTATTCTGTTGTGCATGTGTGTGTGTGTGTGTCCTAATATACCCCATCTTCTTTATCCAGTCATCTGTTGATGGGTATTTAGCATTATATTAGAAATAATGCTGCAATGAACAAAAGGATGAATATAAAGATATATATAAAACATAAACAAAAACAAAAACACTAATTTGCAGATATATATATATATCTGCAAATTAGTGTTTTTGTATTTGGAGGGTAAATACCCGGAGGTGAGATAACTGGGCCATGTCGAGTATCTATTTTTCATTTTTTGAGAAATCGCTACACTGCTTTCTATAATGGTTGCACCAATTTACATTCCCATTAACAGTGTACAAAGGGTCTTCTCTCCACATCCTCACCAACACTGACATTTCTTAGCTTGCATAACAGCCATTCTCAAAGATGTGAAATGATATTTCATTGTTGTTTTGATTTGCATTTCCCTAATAGATGATGGAAATCTTTTCAGCTGCATAATAGTCATCCTTAGGTCTTCATTGGATTAGTGTCTATTCAGATCCTCTGCTTATTTTTTTTACAGTTTATTTATTTATGCATACAAGAACTGGGGTACAGGCCAGAGGTGTGGGGGTTGAGCGGATTCACCCAGAGACAGAATGGGGAGCAGAATAGGTGGATCTACTGAAATACACTGCTGAGGGGAGCAGCTGGCAAGACAGGAGAGGTCTGTTGTGCCATGTGGGTAGTTCCCTGATGGACCTGAGATGGAACTCATGCTGCAGAGGCTGCAGATAGCTTCTCAGTGCTGTGCTTAACCTCTTGCACCACCAGGGAGGTCCCTCTGCTCATTTTTTAATTGGGTTTTTTGTTTTAGTTGTTGAGTTTTATGAGATATTTATATATGTTGAGTATTAACCCTTTGCCAGACATTAATATCTTTTCTCATCCAGTAAGATATCTTTTTATTTTGATGATAGCTTTTTTCACTGTGCAGAAACTTTTTAATGTGGTGTGCTCCCACTTTCTACTTTTGCTTTAGTTTCCTTTGTCACTGGAATCAGTTTCCTAAAGACCAGTATCAAGGAGCATGTACCTATGTCCTACGTGTCTTTTGGTTTCAGGTCTTACAGTCAAAGACTTTAAGCCATTTTGAATTAATTTTTGTCTATCTTATTAGATAGCTTTCTAGTTTCATTCTTTTACGTGTGGCTGTCCAGTTTTCCTAACTCCACTTATTGAGGTGACTTTCCTTGCTCCACTATAGGTGCTTGACTCCTTTGTCATAAATTAGTTGTCTACATATGTGTGGGTTTATTTCTGGGCTCTCAATTCTGTTCTATTGAACTGTGTCTGTTTTTATTACAATACCATGATGCTTTGTGGTATAGTTTGAAGTCAGGGAGCACAATACCTCCTCTTCTGTTTATTTCTGTTCTTTTTTTCTCAGGAATATTTTTGCTCTTAGGACTCTTCTGCAGTTCCAAATAACTTTCATGATTTTTATTGTATTTCTATAAAGAATACTATTGAGATGTTGACAGGGATTGTACTGTTTGTATACTGCTTTAGGTAATATAGCCATTTTAATGCTGTCACTTCATCCAACCCATGGACACAGAGTATATTTCCATTTCTTTGTGTTTTCCTCTATTTTCTTTTTCAACAATGTCTTACAGTTTTCAGGTCTTTCACTGTTTTGGTTAAATTCATTCCAAGCTACATAATTTTTTTGATGCAATTGGTAAAAGAAACTTTTCCTGATTTCTCTTTCTGCTAGTTTATTATTTGCATGTAAAAACACAACAGATATTTGTATATTAATTTTGTAGTCTGTCATTTTACTGTATTCTTTTATCTTTTCTAATAGTTTCTTACTGGAGTTTTGGTATTTTCTCTCTATATATTTTTATGTCATCTGCAAGCAGTGATAGTTTTACTTCTTCTATTCCAATTTGAAAATTTTTCATATCCTTTTCTTATCTAATTGTTCCAATTAGGAATCCCAATAATGTACTGAATGATAGTGGACATCTTGTCTTGCTCCAATTTTAGAAGATGTTTTCAGTTTTTCACTATTGATTGTGAGTCTGTCATATACAACCTTTATGTTGAGATATATTCTTTTTGTGCCCATTTGGTTGAGGGTTTTAATCATAAAATGATCTTTGTATTAACTCAGTTCTCATAGGAAAGAAGGGTATTATTATAAATGAGGAAACTGAAGCCTAAAACAATGGTGTAATGTACCCAAAACTGTCAGATTTTTAATCCAGGTCTTTCTGACTTCAGAGTTTTCAGTGAAGTGCACAATGAGTACAAGGAAAAAAAAAATGGAAATGGAGGGGGGAAGGAGGAGGGTAAGAGGACCTGATTCATTTTAAAGTAAATACAAAATTCAGAGATAGCCCAGGAATTAAGATGTTCCTGTGGTTAAAACAAATAAAATTCATCTTCTTCTAGCACAGTGCTTCCCAACTTTAGCTGCTCATTTAAAAATAGCCTGATGTGGGCCTCCCTGGTGGCATAAGTGGTTACATCTTAGCACTATGAAGCTAACACCAGCCAGCTACTGCAGCATGAGTTCGATCTCTGTCCACAGAGGTGAGCCACATAGCACAGCAGACCTCTCCTGTCTTGCCTGCTGCTCCCCTCAGCAGTGTATTGCAGTCAGTCTGCCTGTTCTGTTCCCTACTCTGTTCCTGATGAATCCTCTCACCCCCTGCACCCCTGGCCTGTACCCTAGTTCTTGAATGCATAAGTAAATAAATCTTTAAAAAAATTAATATATAAAAATACCCTGATGCTCAAGCCAAATAAACCAGAATCTTTGGTGGTGGGACCCCAACACTAGTAGTTAGTAAAGCTTCCAGACGATGTCATTTTGCAGCCACAGGTGAGAACCACTGTGCTGGAACTCTCCTCTAGCTGCATATCATTGTATAGCTTTTCTCATTTATGTATATTTAGAAGTAAAAGGGTAATATTATCTCTGGAGGCTTCAAAAAAGTTGAATATTCTTAAAATTTTTAAAAATGCATTGTAAATTGGTATAGCCTCTATGAAAAATGGCCTGAAGACTATTCAAAAACCTGAAAAATAGTAACACATGATCCAGCAGTTCTACTCACTCCTAGGAATTTATCTGAAGAAGAGGAAAACACTAATTCGAAAAGACATTCACACTCCTGGGTTCATAGCAGTATTATTCACAATAGTCAAGAAATAATAACAACCAAAATGTCCATGGACAAATGACTGATAAAGAAATGCACGCATGCATGCACGTGGGCCCACACACGCACTCACACACATGCACACACACACACACACACACACCAGAATATTATTCAGCTATAAAAAATATGAAATCTTGCCTTTGGGACATGAGTGGAACTTGATTATGATTATGCTACATGAAATAAGTAAGAAATTGAAGGACAATTACTGGATAGTTTCTCTCATATGTGGAATATATATGAGAAGAAAAAAACAACTAATGAAACGCAACAAGTATAACTTTCACATAACAAGGTGGTGTGAAAATAAGGTGGTTTCCAAAGGGGAAGGGGAAGTGGGGTGGGAGGAAAGGGTTCAACATGAAGGTGTGAATGGCACTGGAACTTTGGTGGTGGGTGCAGTGAGACATAACAAGGTGTGAGCTAAATTCCTGAAATGTATATGGTAAGTCAACAGTAACTTATTTAAAAAAAAAAAATTCTCTCCCTTCCTCATTCACTTTGAAAGAAAGCAGTAAGTTCTTGAATTTATGAGAATCCATAGCTGTTTAATAAATACCAACTGACAATAGAGGTCTTAAAAAAAAGCTTGGAAGGTTACTACTGAATTAATCAGGTTTAGAAAAGAGCAATAATACACAAATCTAAGGCTGCAGCCAAATATCCTTGGCAACTAAATTAGGTGATAATAAATGTAGGATCATTTTCTTCCCTTGCATTTCTCCAGGTTGAATGAATAGAGAGTTTTAGAACTTCTTGGAAATGATAGGGAGATGGATTAAAAATCTATCTTTTAGAGTGATCACTGCCTCCCCTCTTGTCATTTTTTTGCTTTTATTTATGAGATCCAATGTTGTCTTCTCTGAGATTTCAAGTCAACTTCATTGGCCATGTTCTACCTGAGACTAATGAGTCAAACTATTACATGTTTCAATAATAGATTTTTTTATATCAGTGCTAGGTTTACAGAAAAACTGAGTAAAAACACATTTCCCCAGGTCCCAACCCTTCCTTCAGTTTCCTGTATTAGGAACATCTTGCATTAGTCTGTTATAGTATTGATACATTATTATGTATTGATACATTATTATGAATTAAAATCTGCAATAACATCAGGGTTCATTCTTTGTGTTGTAGAGAAGATATTAATTTTTAATGTTTCACTGGCCTATCATGATCATGTAGTCTGTATACTATATGATACCATCTTCATAATAAACAACAACCTACCCACATATCAAAACTCAAGAATTCCTTGCAATTTCTCAATGTCCCCTATGTTCCCTAGGCAACTAGAAAGCAAGATTTATAGCAGAATAATGATTTTAACTTATGTTTACCTCTTCATTAAGAATGCTGACTTACTTTAATATGTACCCTAAAAGAATTTGAACACTAATACTAATCCATGCTGCCTGTGAGGAATTCTGAACAGTCAAAAAAGAAACCCAGAAAGTAAACAAAAATAGTTTCAACCCAGTTAGCTTAGGTCACAGTGAGGAGGGAAGGTTCCCAACCAGAAGGAAAAGAAAGTGACTGTTACTTGAATGAATTCCATTAGGATTTTTCTCCCCACACAGGAAATGGTTGCTGCAATTCCCACCAGGTATGATGGAATATAGAATTTTATTTTATATAAAAGTTTGTAGAAAGGAAACAAAAAACAGAAGACCATGAGGGTCGCAACCCAGCTGTCAGTATCTCTCTCACACCTATCAATGTATCATTCTATTTCCCCGAATCTACAGTTTGCCACCGAGTCACCTTCCAGGATGTCACTGCCCAGGGAAGTGATACCCATCAGCACTTGATACACACAAAGGAAAAGCCCACACTGGATCATTCAGCTCTTCTTGTTCTCCCATAGGGCATTCCCGATACACAGCCAAGTCCACCCTGAAATTGTCTAACACTTTTCAAATGTGCTTTTATTTCCAGCCAACTACATATGGCCTATGAGACTGGCCTGACAGAGCCAAGGCGGGGCTGTCCCTCAGCCAGTTGGCAGCAGGTGCGGCTGCAATCTGTGACAATGAAGACAGCACTTCAGAGGAGCAGGCACCTTCCCCAGACGACGCCTGGGAGCCGAGTGACAGCCCCGGCCTCGCCACCAGATGCTCCTCTATGCCAAGCGTCAGCCAGAGGACCAGACCCCAGGGCACTGCATTCAAAGTACAGTTTTATTTCTACTTTATTGACTTATTTTAGTGCTTGCCTAGTATAACTCAGTGTTTCTCCCTTATAAAGGACGACAGGTTATTTTTGAAACAGCTAACGTGTTTTAATGCTAAGCAAAATAAGTCAGAAGGAGAAAGACAAATATGGGATGGTGTCATTTATACATAGAATATAGAGAAACAAAACAAAGGGTCAGACAAAACCAAATCAGTGACAAACCCTAGAAAATTGACTTTGGAATCGAGATTACAAAAGAGGGAGGGGACACCATGGACTGTGTTGGAGGATGCGGGCGCCTTGGAGGGGTGTGATGTGAGGTCCCGCATCAAAGGTATGATCTTATGCCTCTGAGTCAATACAATGTTGTGAACCAGTGACTCCAACGAAAAAAGAAAACCAGCTAGCACATTTAGAACACTGACAACTCAGCAGGAAACAAAATGAGCACGGCAATTTGCAAACTGACATATATACTTGTATGGAAGTAAAAAACATTAGCAACTTACCCTCCCATCTTGCAGTCCCCAGTGCCACCTTTCCAGGCTCGGACGTACTTGGGATTGGCCCAAAGGGACACCGGATTAAAGGTACCACTTGAAAAATAAGGTCCCACGGGGCTCAAGATGACAAAAAGCAGGGCTTTGGTAGGCTTCTTGACTCCAAGAGAGGGCTGCAGGCAAGGAAAATTACACACAACCATTCATTTAAATGGAGACTCCAGTCTTAAAATCTAGGCTAGATCTATAACTATCTCCTGGGGTGCCACCAAAGGCAAGAGCTGGCACTTCTAAAATTGAATTATACAAAGGCTGGTGGTCTGTTAAGAGAAGGGAGGGCTTCAGTTTGATTTTGGTTTGCTTTCTGGGTTACTATGATTTTAGTGGAAAAGTAATTGTATACATTTTTATGTTTGTAGGGCTTTTAGAGGAATACCATATTTTAATGACTACCTGTATGAGACATTTCAAGGTTACAATGATAGGAACTGAGAAATGGGAGACCCCAGACCTATGGTTTTAGTCTTTGGGGGTGAAATATGTCGACTTGTCTAATCTTCCTGATGCAGGCTGTCAGACTCCAGCAGGAAACGGGCTCCAGTGAGGAGTCACTGACTGTGGCAGGTACTAGAAGGCTAGAGAGTCACTTCCCTAAAGGTGGAGCCACCACACCAGATAAATATCCCCAAATAAGGCAGAGGATGATTGACTCGAGAATCAGGATCATGAATGGCAGAGAAGATAGACCTACCCACAAACACTGGAAAATCATGTCATCACACAAAACCATACAAATGCCTCCAGCACAAGAGCAACTAACTGTAAGTCACTGACTGTTGATTATCAGGAGGAAATTTGTGGGACTGAAATCATTTAGGCTTACATATCAATTGCAAAGTCATAAAGGGTGGTTTGGGTGTCACTCAAGACCCCAGGAAATCAGAAGACAAGGCAGAGCTTTAGCACTCTGAGTCCTGGGATGAAAAATGAGGGTCCAGACTGGACCTGAGGGTTTGGTTTGGCTGGGTGGGTGGACTCTGTCACAGAAAAAAAAGGAGAGTAAAAAAGGAGGTTCATTTCCAACTGATTTTGAGCTTTCATCATGTTTGATTAAACTGTCTGAAGGTGTATTTGGAAATTATTTGGTCCTGACTTTTAATTATATCCACCCCCCTGCTACCTACTGACCCACAGCCCCTCAGCCTCCACCTGGAATCAGGTCATCAAGAATCAGACAGACAAAATATATCCATAAGCATTAAGAATGTGTTTGTACATGTGCATGCTGAAGCCATGGAAAAGGCATGCACAGCCCTCAAGGCGCGGGAGGATGATGATTCTACCACATTCCATGTGGTCAGGACACCACCAGGCTTGGGTGGCACAGAGAGAACAGATGAGGGCTGAATAGTCGATGACAGACAACCAAGTGAGAGGAATGAGCAAGCAGGCAACAGCAGGTTTTGGGGTTTTGCTTGTTTCTGTTTGTTCTTCAGTGGAGCTGAAGAGGACTTTCCAACAAATGAAAAGGAACTTCATTTGCCTTTTTGGGTTTCATTGTTTGGGAAAGTAAACCTCCAAATAATACACATTTTTACCTTTCTTCCCAACTTTGATAAAATTGACTATCCTATATATGCACTTTTACTTACCTATTAGTTAAGGAAGTACAATCAATACCTTCTCAGCTTGAAGCTGAGTGTTTTAAAATTTTTTATAGAGTCTTCTGAGGAATTAAGGAAGTTTCTCAAGGTGATTGAGGAATACAATGTACAGGACACAGACTCAATAATTTACAAACTTCTAAGTGTCTGAATGAAAGAGTTTCTTGATGGACATTTTATTAGCCACCCCGTGAATGCCTGCACTTCTCGAACTCAACTTGTGGTTTTTTCAACCTGCATAATACTAAAAATAAAAAGCAATAACTCATCACCATTGAAATGGTCTTCGGAGATCCATTTCATCTTATTCATTTCCTTCCCTGATTTTAACTGACAGTGAGCTTGCATTTTTCCACTAGGTGGTGGTAATGAAAGCGCAGATGGAAAATGGAATAATTCTATGCATTAAGTCTATTTCTAGAGAAAAATCTCAATAGCCCTTAAATGATACTTTTTTTTTCTCAGCAAGCAGGCAAATTATAGAGTAGAATTTTTCAAAACCAAGAAGAAAATGTGTTTATTTGTACTAACATCTTATTTTCTGAAATTAAAGCAAGTTCCAACCATGTTTTACAAGCATCTCAAGTACTGCAGTTTATCACAGCTTAGTCACCTTCATCCTAAAATGGTTACTTATGTCAACTGTCTTTTCATCAAAAGAACTCTGACTTTACCAAAAATAGCTACTCTGCTTCAAGAGTGAGAATAAATAAAGTGTAACTGTGCTTTGGGGAGGAAGCGTGAAGTTTAAGTCTGCTTTTAGCCTCAGGAACCACTATTTGTCCTTTGTCTTAACTCTTCCTTCTAATCTAAAAGTTGTAGTACTGCTATAGTTAAGAATATATTGCTCATTGTGAAATGTGAACCTATGCCCTTAAATCATACTCAGTGTTGTAATGTTGTAACTAAGTGTTGTTGAATGAATCACAAAGAAAATAACCACAGTGACAGAGCTTCTGGTCAAATAAAGCAAAAGCCATTCAAATAAGTAGAAAATATGGAAGAACAAGGACTCAGATTCAATAAACCTTATTTTGATTTTTAAATTCTACTCTAATAAGATCTTGGATATCTGAATACATAGGAAATGAATAAAGTTAAAAAATAACATAGAAAATGTGGAATATAATATCTCAGAAGCAAAACATGTAACTTCTCAAGGGACCAGCTGACTTTGAAGTTGAAATGTTGATGTATTCAAAAAAGTAAACTCTTCATACTTTACAAATGATGTCTTGCTACTTGGTATTACCTACTTGGTATTAAGTATGTGTATATTTTGCACAGAAGGATAAGAAACTTGTGTGTGATGGAAAATAAACCAGTTTTTTGCAGCAAAAATGATCACTTCTTTCCGAGTGAGCTGGAAAATGTCTTTATAGAAAGGCAGGATTTCAGAGGATTATCTGAACCAAGGCAGAAAGCAACTATGAACTAAAGAAAGTAACATTAGCCCGTGTTTTGGCTGGGACGTCTGGAAGCGCACTGGCCATGTGGAGTCTTGAGGATAATTCTGCTTCAACAAAGCAAATAAGACACTGAAGGAATAAGGTAACCGGGATAACGAGAACAGTTTTCAAAAAGAATCGGTGTGACTTTTTTTTTAACTCCAAAGAACAGCTTAATTTTTTAAAATCCTGTCAATTCCTCAAAAAGGAAGATTAGTTAAAGAGAAAAATTATGAAGACCATCAGACTGAGGGACACTGGATGGAACAGTGCTCCACGTAGGGAGCTGAGTGTGAGTCACAATGGAGAGACCCCAATTTCATGCTGTGTCATTAGAGGAAAAACTAATCAGTTGGGTAAAAGATTTTTAAAAATCAACCCACAACATTTATACAGTACTTTTTGGTTACTAAGCCATTTCACATAACTAAGTTATTATCTAATCCAACAATCCAGGAAGGTAAGCATTATAATTCCTATTTTAAAATTGGAAAAAGTGAGGTGCAAAACAAGTGGTCTTCCCAAGGTTTCATTATTAAGCTCTAGACCTTCTATTCTTTTTTTAAAAATGTATTTATTGATGCATATTTTACATCATTGTTCTTTTTGTATAATATTTGATTTCTCCTCTCAGGTGTAGTTCCTGTAAAATTCCCACCACCAATTCACCTGTGCACCATCACCATAGCCCCTTGTGCTCTCCCCACCCCTGTTTTGACCCCTCTCCCTCCCCCTCCCCTGCAGAATGTCTCTGATCTATAGTTGCCTGTTAATTTTGGTTATTATTTTTTTATTTTCCCTGATCCTTTATTTGGTTCCCCTATATTTCTCCTATAAGTGAATTCTTAACTTAGAGCTCCTTTTCGAATACCAGTTTAAAAAAAAAAAATATATATATATATATATATATATATATATATATATCAGTGAAGTGCCCCGATATCCTAACCTGGAGAGCATTTAAACCAGCATTCAGCTGTTCCACCCTCAGCTTCAGCTTCATGTACCCCAAGCACAGACCACACTGAGCCTTTCTGTCACCCTCTGGTCACTGTCTCCCCAGAGATACTTCCTGCACAGCTGCCTCTACCAGGAACACTCTATTCCCCACTTTTTAGGGCTGCAATGTGTGTCTCACCCTTTCTCTCCAATTTATGGATTGAAGTCCTAACACCCTAAGTGACTGCATTTGGAGATGAGGCCTTTAAGCTATGGAAACAACCCAAATGCCCAAAAATAGATGACTGGATCAAGAAGATGTGGTGCATATACACCATGGAATATTAATCTGCATTCAAATAAGATAAACTCATGCAATTTCAGCAACATGGATGGCACTGGAAGGGATCATGCTCCGCGAAATAAGCCAGCAAGAAAAAGAAAAATACCGGATGGTCTCACTCATAGCAGGAATCTAGAAAACCTAAATAAGGAACCAGGAAAAAGACTATAATAAAGAAAAAATCAAAATCAACAAGCAACTATAAGCCAGAGACACACTGGGAGGGGGGAGCAGAGAGGGGATTAGGGTCAAAATAAGGGAGAGGGATTGTATGGGGACTATAACCAAGATGAAAATGCATACATTGTGCATAAATGAAAAATGATGTAAACATATATAAAATAAAATAAAAATGCTCAAAAAATAAATTTAAAAAAAAGAAAGTTAAAAAAAAAAGGCACTTAAAGTCAAATGAAGTCAAAAGGGTGGGCCCCTAACCCAATAGGACTAATGTCCTTCTATGGAAGATCAGCAAGGGTACTACATCCAGTCCCTGCTCGCTCCCTCCTCCTATTCCCTGCTCCCTCTCTTTCTCCCTGGCCCCTTCCCCTCAGTTTCCCTCCCCTAATCTTCCCTCTTTTCCTCTTCCCTTCCCTCCTCTCTCCTCTCTCTTCCCCTTCTCCTTCTTTCTCCTTCTCTCCCCTTCTCCTTTTACCCTCTCTCTGCACAGAAAAAGCCACAGGAGAACACAGGAAGAAGCCACCCACTAGTCAGGGAGGGGAGTTTCTCTAGAAACCAGCCCTGTTGGCACTTTGATCTGGGACATCCAGCCTCCAGAA